TCCGCAGTTACATCAGATAGCTGCAAAAAAAATAATCGGCACCTGCAACATGGGCTTAGCAGAATGTGTTTTTTTTAAACCGGAAGGCATAGACTTGATGACATTTGACCTGCACGCACAACGAATAACAAATGTGTCTAAATATGGTATCGGTTCATTTTATATTTTAATCGTGGCAATAGTATACGTTGAGGGATATGTATTTCTAAAAATATTTCTTCCATGCATGTGTATTGCAGAGTAGTCATACTTTATATGATTGATTGATTGGTTGGTTTGTTGTTTTAGGCCGAACTCATCAATACTCCACCTATATGGCGGAGGTCTGTAAATAATCGAGTCTGGACCAGACAATTCTGTGATTAATATCATGAGCATCGATCCACACAATTGGGATCGATGACATGCATCAACCAAGTCAGCGAGCCTGACCACCAGATCCCGTTAGTCCCCTCTTACGACAAGCATAGTCACCTTTTACGGCAAGCATGGGTTGCTGAAGACCTATTACATGAACACCCAAAACGTCATCAATTCACGGACAAGAAGATCAATTCACGGACAAGAAGATCAATTCACGGACAAGAAGATCAATTCACGGACAAGATTATCAATTCTCGGACAAGATTATCAATGCGAAAGTTGCTTTTTAAATTCAGGCCACATACAGCAGTTCTTTTTTTCTTATCATGATGGATGGTTAGATTTGTAACTGGACTCCATCCTAACTTCCCAGTTTTACGTTAAAAAATGCAAGACACGCTTACCCCTTTCGCGAACACCTGGTGTTATCACTGATTTTCAGTGATCCATTCATAAACGTTTCACTGCTGGTTCTACCTTTTACAGCCAGTGGATCTGTTTCGGTGGGCAATCGAGAGCGGTTATTCCCTGGCTCTGACGTTTTAAATTAATGCAAATAGCTGATCTGCAAAATCTCGAAAAGTATTCATGTTTGTCACAACGGCTGACAGAAAAGTAGGATTAAACAAATATTTAAGAAATGATGTAAAAAATATTTAGGGCCACCCCGAGGTCGGTGTTAAATGGGAAAGAAGACGATTACTGTGGCCTAACACACGTATGAATAGTATGACCACAAGCTGCAAAATTAAGTTTGAATGCTCTGTGTTTGACACCCTGGATACGTTTCACACGTTTAACACGTTTAACCATATGGGAATCGAACCCGGGTATCCCGCGTCCCGAGCCAACACCTTAACCAGTGGGTTACTCAAACGTTCCAATAATGTTGGAGACTTGAAACGGAATGGAACAGAAAGCGGCAGAAACTCGCAAAACGTTTACACACTGTAGAGGTTCACGACCCTTTTCGCGAACACCTGGAGTCATCAATGATTTTCAAAGGTCCATTCATATAATTTCCACAGCTATTTGCCCTTTACTGCAAGTGGAATCTGTTTCGGCAGAAAATCTAGGCTGGTTATTCTGTTGCTTTGACAATATATATTTCTGGTATACATACTACGGGCTACGGAGACTTTCCTTTGTCGGAATATTAAAATATTTTTTAAAAAATGGGTTTATGCTAAATATCCGGTTTGTTAAGGTTACACTGTATCGGCAAGTAGTCCGTGATCATTTTCTAACAAACATCCCCGGCATATGATCCTCTGTCTCCCGTTGAAGAGGGTAACTATATGTGTGCTTTGTTGTTCTTTGCTGCTTAACGCCGCTCTCAGCGAAATTAATATTCCAGCGGCCTGTAAGTAATAGCGTCTTGACCAGATTAACCAGTGATTCATATTACGGGCAATCATCCTCGCCTTCAGGATACGATGAGACGCCAGCAACTAAGTTATCTAGCCTGACAATCCGATCTATTAAGTCGCCTCTTACTAGAAGTAGTATACGTGTAGTTTGCTGTGGTCCATTTCAAACCTAGAATGCCCTTAGAGGTAAATGTGCGCTGAATATATTCATACGGAGATCGTTGAGATAAGTACTGGATCCGTATGTCTTACAGTTCCGCTGTCATAGATATACTGGTGACCATAAGTAAGGGAACATATGTGAAGGGAATGGTTTGTCTCGCATGACATTTGTGTAGATGTCGGGAAGGGTGGTCAATATGTATAGTAACATACCACTTGTTTCCCAGTGATATTAATATAAAAAAAATATTTTGTTTTGTTAATAAATAGAAATATATGTATTTCCTCAGTAGTAAATTTTCAGGTCTATAGTCCTACAATTCGACAATAAATAGATGGATGCATGTATATATATACACACGTAAACATTCTTTGGAATTTAGTTTTTATCCTCTCTTAATAACAACTGTGCGGGGGGGGGGGGGGGGGGAGGTACAGGCGGTCTAGTCGTCTAGGGCGCCGCGATGCGTTGTGCAGAGTTGCTTCCCTTGTGCGTACCAGAAACCTACGATCGTGAGTTCGAATCACGGTTTACCCTGGTTATGTTTCTAGGTGTGTCATAACAATACCCGTGGTAAACGTCTAAGACTCGTCTTACTTCAGACAATCCTCCCACAAGCTGATACGCTCTGATGTAACCGAAATATTGTATAAAGATGCGTGTCGCCAAACTCACTCACTCAGTCACTGAACACATGGGAGATGTCGAGTCATATCCCATGTATAGGCTATCTTATAAATGTTAAAGTATTTATAAATTACAAAGTAGAGATTCTTGCAGCTGTCAAACCCGACATTTATGTTTTCTATTTTTCTATAGATTAATGGACACATTGACAGCTTCCATAACCTCGTTGTTTCTGTTCTGCACTGGTTACCTGCATTAGACGCACTGACATTTACAACCTAGGAACCTATATAAATAACAAATAAACAACGAAGCAGAAATATATTATTGAAAGCATTACAGAAAAAGTTACAGTGGCTCGGCCGTTTGAATGAAAACCACGACCGTTCGTGACGATTTAAATGCTTTTTCTGTTTAGTATGTATGCCTGAACAATTATTTAAGTTTACAACCTTCGACTCCATGACGACATGCTTGTAGATTACGACATTACATAATCTTCTAATACCCTTCGTGACTTCTTTGTGAGTACGTAATTTACCTTTTTCGCGAACATCATTTTCAGTGGTCCATTCACATAATTTTCACACTCAGCTATTGTGTCGTTTACGCCAAATGGAATTTGTTTCGGCGGATAATCAAGACTGGTTATTCTCCTGCAGTGACGTTCTATATTTATACCCAACAGTAACACATATACTGACATAAGAATATACACTGAAAAGAAATGTCATCACATTGCCAGTCTGTTTGACTTGACTAAATTAAGCTTTGTCACGTGGTATCCATACAGATATTTAATTACAGAAAAAATAATTTAGAAAATTTAACATCAGATAAATGTGACATGTATGAATAAATATTAATATGTACTTGTCATAAGATATTCATTAAAATTATATTTATCTTACAAAATTCTTCGAGGGATCTTAAGCTTTTTTTAAAAATTTGATAGGATCCTGCAATCATTTCATATAATTGAAAACTCATTAATAGTCGAATCGGTCGTTTTTTTATAATTCATTTCAAGGGGTTTCAAGCTTTCACAAATCATGCAATACAATAACTGAAGAGAGACAAGAGCTCCAGGGCTTAGTCTATCCGTTAAGGGTTCAGGTCAGGGTTGTGATATGACATTATACAATGTAATAAATGTAACGTTCACTTACACAGGTGTTAGTACTGTTGCCAGGCCTTCTCATACAATGTTCGGGTACATTTATATTTTTGTTCTTGATACCATGTATGAAGACAATCTGAGTGTGTTAAAAAACACGTATTACATTAAACAATAATTGACTCATTTCCCCGGCTCACGTAAATAAAACAACATAAAATGACTTTGAAAATCTTGAGTAAGTTGATAAGTAATATATCTTTAAAATTTTAATATTATATTTTAGAAGTATAATTTTGCATTAGACGTTATGTCCCTTGTAGGTAGATGGTTTCAGAAAAGAGTTCCGCTATTGCTTTATGACATTCAAACAAATTTGGCTAGGTTTTTTGTCACGGGGTCATACAACAAAACAAACTTTCAAATTGTTTGGATAAAAACGGTAGGAGAACTAAATACTGATGTATGACAACGAGTGTAACGCTGTTCCATCAAAACCTCACGCAGACACTTAAATACAAGACATACCCATGTACATAAAACTCAACATATTAATAAAACAAGAAGAAAAAATGCATATGATTAATAAAACATATTGAAGCCATAACCAGGAGTCAATAATACCCAAGACATCAACCTTTCATATAAGAAATAGTATGCCGATTTAATGATCTGATGGGACATTAACAATTATAATATCTGTGCAGTAATTATGTCATAAAACAACACGCTTTTCTCCCCAGATGTGCCAGCACCCTTTTCTCACCTCCTAACACTTTCGATGGTTCATAGATGAGCGTTTTATGCATGCTTTCATTTTATGTATGATCCGGTCGTCTTTGAAATAGAAGGAATATAATTAATCGCTACATGAAACTCGATTACGGTAATAATTTGATCTTTGTGGGGTGGGTCCGTATTGAGTAGGCTTGGAGACACAACATGGCACTAATTTCCACGGTTTGAACGTTCAGTGATGCAGAGAGGACCTAACTTTCAGGAAAGTAAGTTGTAATTCTCAAAAACACAGACTTTCCTTCCCTATTCCTCCACCGGATGAGATGTGTAATCTGAGCGAGCGTGTAATCACGACTGAAAAAGTAGATTCATGCACGCCATTACTTTGAATATTGGCTGTGGTATCGCTTCCGAGGCAAATTGGGCCTCTTTGGCACATCTGGTAACAGTTTGAGTGGAGGGAAACCTTCCCTTTGCCCTCCTTCCCTGTCTATCCGGAGGGGGACAGGCGTTTGATGTACCAGCCCGCCTATCAGAAGCATTGGGAAGGAAGAATGGGCCCAGCAAGGCATCTCATTGGCTCACACCCCTTCATTAAAACAGATCGGTGAGGCACGTGAATGATACACCTTTGTTTTAGTTGTGTGTGTTAGTCTGACTTGTTAGCCAGTGGAGAGATGTACGTCTGACTATTGACACAATTGGACACGTTTTGTATCGCAAAATTAGTGGCAGCATTGGTACCAGGATTTGTAGGCGTGGTGAGCTGATCAAAACATGGTCCCAGAGCCCGAGTCTAATTAATGGGTAAACTTTGCCATGTGTGACTTAATTTCAGTCTCAGGTTCCAAAGCATCGAAAACAGTATCTCCACGACACATGTAGATATAGGCGTAGCACTTAGGGACTCGTGGTTTTGGCTGAGAACTGGTAGGCAAGTGTTGACAGACGGCAGAAGGCTCAGTAGCAGACGACAGTTCCTCTCTTGGCGTCTGCAATCAGGAGCAGACGGTACGATTAACAGATTAGCAGACGATAGGGATTAATTCGCGGTGAGATTATCACAGACGGGAGGCGATAGCAACTTCAGCATGATGATGATGACAGACTATCGTAGCTGCCGCTACGACCACAACGCACCCGTTTTCACCGGACCATCGTTCGCGGGAGCAGACATGTCAGACGCGAGGCAAATCATGGACATATCTTACTCCCATCCTGGGGGTAACCCTGATTATTTTGGACCCCCGAATGGGTCTTATCATCGGTCGTATCCTCGTCAGTATCCTGAGGTTTATGGCTATCATTCTAGTAGTGGGATGCCGCCGCATTTCTTCAATTCAGGCGGTGACCAAACGGCCGTTGACTATCGACCTCGACATCATTCGCAAATGAAGGAGAAGGGGTTTGTGTCGTCCAAGGAAGACTCGACTGGAGGCGATGACGAACCAAGATCCTGCTCAAGCATCAAAGACGACAAGAATGATATGTTGGACGACAAGGATAGCCCGAGGTCTTGCTCCCCCATCAAAGATGAATCCGGCAGCATGAGCGACGACCACACCTCCGACGACGACAACGAACACATCCCCCACGTTCTAGCCCCTGGGTACCATGGACCCAACAGAAGGTGTCTGCTTTGGGCCTGCAAAGCGTGCAAGAAGAAGACTGTGACAATTGACCGGCGGAAGGCGGCGACGATGCGGGAACGACGTAGGTTACGGAAAGTGAACGAAGCGTTTGAGACACTTAAAAGACGGACGTGCCCGAATCCGAATCAGAGACTACCAAAAGTTGAAATTTTGAGAAACGCTATAGAATATATTGAAAGTTTAGAGGAACTGCTTCACGGCAGTAGGATACCAAGAGGTGACGACAACTGTAATGATGCCGGCTCTTCAAGCAGTGGTTCTGACTATATGGTGAGTTACCTATACGCATACAAAAACTACATAAGATTATGTCCAAATACCTTACGCAGACATCATGTAATTGTATAGCCGCAATAGGTGATTCGGTGAATGGAGAGTTTTAGGCGGAAATGTTTCGTTTTAGGATTGGTAATAAATTCAAAAAAAGTGAAATAGGACGTGTACCAATATAGTACTATTGTAAATATATTGTTGTAAATAATACTGTTAACTGACAAGTAGAGTTTCTGCAACATTCAATCAAGAGGTTTGTTTGGATCATTGATGACGATACAAGCTGTCTAGATCTTGCACATCCTGGTTAAACTGGAAACCTATTTTTGCTAGAGCTTCTTGTCTACGAAAATATCTTTTCAATAAAAACAACATTTCTTTGGCTGATTGACACATTGGATAGATTAGTTGGATAAATTTCAAATAAACAAAATCAGAAGAAAACAGTCATAATTGGGTGTAGACGCGTAAATTAGATGGTGCTGCCAATGAACCTGAGAAAGGTTTAAAACTTTTAAAAGTCTTTGTTTTTCTCACGTAAAGAAGTCGTTTTAAGAACAACACTAATTCAGAAGTTCCATTTTCTCCTTGAATTAACACGTGGTGTTATTTGCGAGAGTTATTTTCACTGATGAAATGAGAATGCTTGGTAATATATTTTAAATGATAATCGCTACCAGATGTAGAAAGCGAGAGCTTCGTGCTTGGCAAAAATAGTGCAACGTATATTTTCCAGCAAATATACGGCTTTTCCCACAACTATAGATTATTTAAATGCTGACTGAAGATTTGCTCCAGAAACAAAATTGTGACGTTAATTTAGAATTTTATGTTTGATTTAAGATGCATGTATCAGGGGTGGGCGTGGCTTGTTTACTTCTTGGAAGTAATAAATATTAGGGGGCGCTTTGGAAACATTTAAACAGAATAAGATATCGTTTGACAAACTACAGACACCTTTAAAATTAACTATATCTCATTGAGATACAGAATGCCAATTTTATGAACTGGATTTGGCTCTTGGCCGATAAGCCCGGCTTCTGTTTCGGTAATGTTGACAAGGAAAGATTTTTTGTCGGGTGACTAGAGATTCTGCTTTGCTACAAACGCATGCTGACAGCCTGATCGAAAGATTACCTTCTTTTCAGAAACAATCATACTTAACGCTTACGTATATGAAAATATTTACGTTCATTATTTAAAGAATTTAGCTTGCCATATTTTGTCTTAAAACATGTGTCAAATTTGTACTTTTAAGTAGTTTGATCGTGTGTATAAATACGCATAAATGTTACAAAACGATAAGGACAAATTTGTTATTTCTGTACGTTTTATGTATCAAAGATGTACTTTGATAAGTTCGTATGCATGCTTAAAGCCCTTATGATTATGCATAATTCAACGAAGTGGCGTTTCTCAAAGTTACAATCCCTTTAATATGTATTTTACGATGATTCTATATGAATATTGTGTTAAAGCAAAAATCATTAGTGTCATTATAGCTCATCACTTTAAACATCTTTGAAACTGTTTTCGAAATCCGATGCGGAATCGTTTAAGAGCATTATACAGATAATCTTTAATTATCTCCAAATCTTTGAAATAACCACTTAAAAAGTGTCCGCCGTTTTAAGGTGAAGTCTGTTAGTTGAAGCTGCGATAGAAGTAAGAACGGGACACACACATTGAAATTGAGAGAGCTTCTCTGTTTTGCCAGTGGTATAGCCATTTAGAGAGTGATCTCTTATTTGAACTGTCAAAAGTAATTTAGCGAGGTGCTAGTCTTGGAGCGCATGACCCGGGTTTTGCACGTTTTCCTCGTGCGAGATCATGCACGCTTGAGGTAAACAATATGCGCTGGCGACGACAGAGCTATTTGATTGACACATCGCCCAATAGCCTGTCAACTGCCATATTAGAAATATGAAGATGAAGCGGTTTTTAGTGTTTTGAATTTTTGAGAAATTATGCGTGACATTTCATCACAGTAATTTGGGCATTCCCGAAAGTTATGTGTCGAGCCCTATCGGGGCTTTCCCACACACTAAATATCGGCTTAGATCCAGTTGAGCGGAAAATACTTGTCTAACTTTTCAAAGCAATGTGCCATTTCTGGCGGACAAGTAATATATCCCATCTGTTTGTTCTTTGAAAATGATATTTCCTAAACAATAATATTGAAGCAATTAAAGTAACTTTTCTGACATGTTTTTCATTTTGGTTTTCTCATCATGAAAACATGTAGTTTTCACATTGAAAATTTATGCAATTTATTATGTATATCTTTTATATCACAATTCATTCAATTATGTAATATTAATCTTGGATAAGCTAATTTAATGCAGTATATGTTTGAGCAACTTTTCTTTAAAAACCAGTCTAAATTTCTGTGTTGTGTTGATTCTAACTATATGGTCAAAACACCAAACTACGCACTATGATATATAAATATGAATATGACTATTTTACCCCCTCCTGTTAAAAACTTGTTTTTTAATCGTCTTAAGTAAGAAAGAGTTCTAAATCAATGTATAACGATATATGTGAAAATCCACATGTTGTTAGTTGTTAAATCCTGCTGGTAAGACAAGTGGAAAATAATACCACGCATTATCAAAAATTTGGAACTTTTTGTGGAACGTTAAAAACATATCCACTGGGGATAAATCCAAGTCCTGTGATTGTATCTACAGATTTGTGCTGGTTAAAAACCACAGCGTAGGAGCCGATTTCGATTTAGTGGCATGCAACAATTGACCCGGAACAGGCTGATTTATCAACTCTCTTCGGGGAGCGTGATTTATAACCAACGCTATAATTACATTTTAATTTTTTCCGGTTTTAACCTCCATTCCGTCAAACTTATCAGGTGCAGTACGATTCGAAACATTTGAAAACAGCACTAGTTAATCAGTTTTTCAAATGACATTTCAGCTGATTTTCAAAAGACGGAACGTTTCGCGCATACTTCAAAACATATTTTCAAATTGAGCAGAACAAAGCTGGCATAGTAACGCGACTGGAGTTTGAAGTGGATCCAGGTTGGCGTTGAAACATCAAATTTCGTTAAATCATTTACCCTAGGTCCAATAGTCGGAGGGAATTTCGGGGTTGCATCTGGTCAAGCTATGAACCCGGGGGGAGCCTCAATCAAACCCCACATTCTCAACGGGGGTTAAAAGGCGCTCGTTTCTTCTTGGATGGGGACACGGTTGCGCGATTAGTTAACACCGGTCCTCAGAGAGAAAGGCGTTATTTAGTCAAGAGCGTCGCAGTCGAATCACATGTACACCGGGAATGTTTAATAGACCGTATGTAAAATTCAGCCGGTTTGATCGTTAACGTTTGCAACCCTACAGAGGTACACTGCTCGGTAGTGAAATGTCCCTAGGAGGTGTGGGTGGAGGGAGAGATGGGGGTGGAGGGAGGGGGGGTCGAGGATAGGGAGGGTTGATTGCTATTCCGGCGTTTACTTGTATAAAAGGCTTCATATAAAGGGGGATGCTTGTTCACTATTCTTCACACCCCCACCCGTCGTCATTTCTTGATCAGATGGCTTAAACATCATTCGACGTCGTGACCACGTTTGAAACATCGCCTACTTTAATCCAAGTGCTCCTACTTCGTGAAGGTGTCATTACCTCGCCACCTCACCCCTCTGCTAACTAGCTGGTCGTGGGTAGTGTTGGGTTACTGTACAAAATAGCCTCCGTGTCTGCTCCTGCAATAACGATCTTTTACTTTGGGGGTTAATGAAATCCCAAGTGAGGCTACTTTATAGATGAAGGGGTATCGGGTTTTAGTGTAGGGAGTTTCCAGTCAGTGGTGCCAGTGTGTTTGGTCAAATCAAGGAGAAGACGAAGTAAACGCAATGTAAATATATACACATTGTAACCGCAAGTTTAACTCACAAAGTATTGTGTGAAAGAAAGAACTTTGTGTATCTTTTCTTGAACAAAAGCAAATTATTTACTGTTTACATACCTGTATTATTTCAACATTCTAAAGAATCCGCGATTCCTGTTAGTTATCCCATAATGCATTGTAATACGTGTACAGTGTATGCTATATTTTATGTATTTTTCACTATTAACTCATAACACGTGTCTGGAATAAAAAGTGTGTTATCTTAACGCTTGGTTGCAATATATTACTTCTTACTTTTGAGGATGTACGTTATGTACGGAGACAAATTTTAGTATATGTTTTTTATTCGTATAGAACACTTTAATTTTTTTTATAGAATATGAAATGTATATCTGGGCGTGTACTCCTGTTAAATCCGTTTCATCGAAGCATTTGCATTTATTTCGATGTCATACTCATATAGCTACGCATATTGCTTTCAGTTATAAATACTTGTGTATGCTGCATGCAGTTATTAATACATGTATATTCTGCATGCAGTGTATATATGTAATGTTAAAAAAACAGTTGTTAAATTATCGTCATAAAACATAATCAAAAGGAGTCCATGGACTCACTGCATTTTCAGAAACTGAAACTGCAGTAATCTAGACTTGCCAACTATTATAGACTTGCATGGGCTGCATTGGATATATTTGTTTCAGGGTCTGCTTGACAGGCTACATCATATGCTGCTGACGCTGGCGCAGTGTAATGTGTACGGGATGCAATATAAACTGTTACATGTGTGTTTCTAACAGTACATATTTATTACATCATACATGAACTAACAAGATTTTACGAATTGCTTTATCAGATCAGATATGAAAATATCACAATTAAGATTCATATCAACTTAGTATTCCTATTCAAGGCCTGGAAGACCAAGTTTCTTTTGTGTCACATCCAAAACGCATTTCTAATATACAGGTTGCATTTTATGAATATTTGTTTTTTGAGTTCATGAAAATATGTAATTTACACAAGTATATGTTCTGGTTGTAATTATTACTATCGCGATTGTAATGGATTTCGACAAGGACATGTTCTTTCTTTTTACCAGAGATTTCCTATCGCATTTTATCTTAAAA